TTAAAGCTTTAAGTTATATTTTGTTTACACATTTCTTAGTAACATTATAGTATGTTTGATATTTATAGGGCAAGTTCCCCCTGATTGTTTTTCTTCTACAAAGATTTCTTGGCTATTCTTATGCAATGGCAATTCCAAATAAATTTCAGAATGAGCTCATCAATTTCCATGAAAAAATTCTGTAGGGGTTTTGTTTGGAATTCACTGAAATAGTAGACTAACTTGGAGAAGAGATCTCTCTATAAAATTGTATCTTCTTATCGAAAAATAAGGCATGTCCTTTTTTATGTTCTTCCTTTGTTCCTTTTGTGAACTATATCTTTTTCATTACATTTTCTCATACTTTATTGCTAGACTATAGGAAAGCTACTGGTTTTTATGTTTATTTGGGTCTAGCCACCTTATGGAATTCTCTTATGTAGTCCTAGTAGTCTTTCAATTAATTCACTTGAATTTTCTAGTCATATCATAAGCATATATTAATAAAACAGTTCTTCTCTACCTTCCAATATTTGCACTTCTTTTTCTGAGTTGATTCTGTAGTATGATCTTTCTAACATATGCATTTATATGGCTTCCCAAAGTCAAAATCTCTTCTCAGCATGACACACTTCCCCTACCCAGCGGAACATGCCCGTCTCCCCCGACAGGTCCTCCACACTCTCTCCAACCTACAGTTGCTTTTCCCAACACATCATGTCTCCTTGCCTATGTCCCTTCTATTTCCTCTATGCAAAACTCTTCCCCCATCAAAAATTACCCATGGGGTACAGTGTCTACTATTCGGGAGATGTGTGCACTAAAAGCCCTGATTTCACTGCTATACAATTTATCCATGTATCAAAAAACTACTTGTATCCCCCAAATCTATTGAAATTTTAAAAAAATAATAAAGGGGGAAAAAATCCACAACTCTTCCCCCCCCACCATCTCATTGTCTGCCAAACTTCTATTTATCCTTCAAGTTTCAACTCAAGAATTGCATCTAATATGCAGCTCTACTTCGAGGCAGGCCTCTGCTCCTTCTTCCATGCTCTCTTGCCCATGTACAGCCTGCCACACTGTAGTAATGACGTTTAATTATAATTTGTCTGTTTGCATATTGGTGAATTAATTAGACAGAAATTTTCCTTAAGGGCAGGGACATTGTCTATTAATATTTTGTTTCTCAGCACCTATCATACTCCCCAGGGCTTGGTCAACACTCAATGCATATTGGTTAAATGTATAAATTTAATGCACGAATGCATAAGTAATGGAAATGTTGGCATCTCTCCTTTGTAGGCAAAGCGGAGAGATATTTTGTCACAGGCATTCTTTCATTTGTGCTTTTTAAAATTACTATGGTGATGGTGGGAAAGGCTGGCCTTGTTTTAGTGCAAATTCTAATTTAATCATTTTCTTCTGACTCACAGATAACTTTATTTTCCTGTTTAATGTTACTCGCACATTGAAATACTGGGAAGACTACTTTTCTAAAGCTTAGTTAATGT